TGAGCATGCGTAATGAACATTAATTCTACCTAATCCAAATACCATATGGCTCCAAAATTAAGCACCCCTTTTTCATTATAGCAGGTGCTTAATATCGGGTACTTTATTTTTTTCAAGTCCAAATATGATAAACTTTATGATATGATGTAATTTATGTAAATGAACATAAATGACAAGATCAAAATAGAAATATTTTAATTTATCTTGTCCATTACATTATATCACCACAAAACAAAAATAAAATCGTTATCAAAAATAAAAAGGTCAATAGAAAAACTGCCAAACGTAAACATAATTCATATTCTATTGAACAAAAGAAACAAGTTGTTGCTTATGCAAAAGAAAATAGAAGGAATAAAGCTGCAAATGCTTTTAATCTTGACCGTAGTATGGTGGGCCGTTGGATTAAAGCAAATAGATTATGGATAACTGGGATGAACCAAAGCATCAAGCGAATTGGTTCTGGTCAAAATGAATTTTATCCTGAAGCTAAAAAAAACTATATGATTGGATTATAGAACAGAGAAAACAAGGATTGGGTGTTACCTTCGACTTTGCACGTATTGAAATATTTAAAATTTTAAAAGAACCAGATATGAGAGATCTTTATGGCAACTCAGCGAAAAATTTTAAAGCATCACATCGTTGGATGTTTGCATTTATGAAAAAATATGATCTATCTCGATGGCAACGTACTAAAGTTTCATAAAAACTTCCTTCACAACTCGAGCGATCATTGGTGAATTTTTATAACTTTATTACTCGTCTTAAACAAAGAAAGCTCTTTGAATTACCTAATATTCTAAATATGGATAAAACCCCCATCTGGTTTGATATAACTAGAAACTTTACAATTGATCATAAAGGTGAGAAAACAATTAATATCTGTGGAACTGGTCATGAAAAAATCGGTTTACAGTTGTTTTAACATGTGTTGCGGGTAAGAATTTATTTTTTAAATTCATAATACGAATATATTTTTTACTAATTATTATACTGTAATTGTTCTAAATATAGATGGAACAAAATTTTCTTCTATTTGTATCTTTAAAGAAAAACAATTACCACATGGTAAAAATATTCTACCTGGAGTTATTGCTTGGTTTCAGTATAATGGTTGGATGGATACTAGCTTGATGATACGATATATTGATTATCTCAATAATATGAAAATTAATAATGAATATGAGATCCCGACGATGATAGTATATGACCTTTTTAGTAGATATTTTGAAGATTTCGTTAAGGATAGATTTCAGAATAGTGGTATTAATTTAGTAGTAATCCCAGGCGGTTTGACTAGCATTTGCCAACCACTTGACATTGCAGTTAATAAACCATTTAAAGACAATCTTCGCAAAAAATGGCATCTCTGGATGTCAAAAGGTGGTGCTGGAGTGACTAAAGCTGGAAACCTTCGACATGCTAGGATAGGTGATATATGTAGATAGGTAGTATGTGCATGGGAACAAATTTCAGAAGAATTAATTATTAAATCTTTCATAAAATGTAATATTTCAAATGAGTTAGATAAAAATACTAATAGTGACAAATTGGGGGATTCTAACAATGAATATGCAAGCAAAGATATTGAAATCATGAATGTTAGCAAAGATGAATATGCAGATAAAGATATTGAAGTTATTGATATTAGCGAAGATGAATATGCAGATGAAGATATTGAAGTTATTGATATTAGCAAAAATATTGAAATCATAAATATTAGCGAAGATGAAAGTATTGAAATCATTGATATTAGCAAAGATATTGAAATAATAAATGTTAGTGAAGATGAAGATATTGAAATCATTGATATTAGCAAAGATATTGAAATCATGAATGTTAGCGAAGATAAAGGTATTGAATTTATTGATATTAGAGAAGATATTAAAATCATAAATAGCGAAGATAATAATATTGTAAATCTTAGCAAGATATTAAAATTATGGGTATTAGTGATTATTAGCTTTATTTAGTAGCTTTATTTATTATAGTCGTAAATTGTATTATTTAACTAGTTGAAATTAATAATTAATATTTTAAATTATTAAAAAATAAATAAAATATGGCAGTGCAAAAGCAGAATGCAAAACTAATATAAAATGTGAGGTGCTTAGTTTTGGATACTATGCATAATGCAGTAGTGCTTAATTTCGGTAAGTGCTTAATTTCAGAGCAGTACGGTATTTTGTTTGTCAATACAGCGAGTAAGTTCTTTATAGATTTTTTTTTTTTACAGCATATTACGTACAAGTAAATACCCTAACGAACATTAATTAATTCTAGCTAATCTAAATATTTTGTTTATCAATACAGTCTGCAAGTTTTTATAGAATTTTTTTTGGGGTTTTTTTTTTACAGCATATTACGTACAAGTAAATACCCTAACGACCATTAATTAATTCTAAGGTCGCTTGCAAGTGAATTTTCGGTTAACATCACTTTTAGAACTCTTGGAAATAATTATGCTATAAACAGATAAAAAAAATAATTAAATTTGAATTGACCAAGTTTACCAATTTAATTTTTTT